ATCTACACGGATCCTCCACTTTTTTAAAAATTACTCCCAGCAAATCCAGTGTCAGCCCCCAACCGACCCAACTGTTCCCCATGATGTGAGGGCTGCGTCTAAGAGTCTGCAGTCTTGTTTAAATTGAAGTTAAGTTAAGGTCTGCAGAAATTAACGGGACTTCCTCCTCGGTAAACGCGGATAAGACTCGATTGCAACGGCTAGACGCTTCCCAGACATGCATATTTGGGAGCCCAGCTGATGCAATCCAGTCCTCTTCCTACCTAGGTTTGTTCATCGGTATGTCTCATCGATTTCAACATAATTCCAATTAACGATGCGTAACCTCTTAGATTATTTAACTGTATTATTTAAGGCTAGGGAGTCTAGCTTCGCGAGAGTTAAGAAAGGTGTGTCCCTCATCCTTTTGGTGCAGCCTAATTTGTTCTACTTTCAGGGTTTTTACCATGTTCTGCGTTACTCAGTTTAACTACAGCGTTACGGTTTGCTGCGTTTTGTAAAGGTTTGTGTTAAAACTTCCATTAAATCTTCAGTTACAAAAAGGACAAACAGTTTTTTCCTGGCCGCCAGGAAATCACAGTGCTGGCCTTCCTCGTATGCATCTGGGGCGTTGAATCCAAAGCAGGAAAACTCAGTCGCTAGGCAGGATGGAACACCATGTTATAAAGAGAATGTAACACTTTTCACACAAAAACGGAGCGGGGGGGGGAGCGGGACTTGGCCCTCTTGTAAAATGAAATCAGGAAAGCAATGTTCGTTGGTTTTAGCCCAGGATAGAAGCGGCCTCGCTGCCGCCGGAGATTGGCGTGCCGGATACAAATGTAGCGCAAAAGGCAAGCGATACATTGCATCGCAATGTCTTCCTCTTTTTTTTTGCAATAATGTTTATTAAGTTTCTTATAAATATAGACACATACTGTAAAAACAAACGAAACAGAGAATGAAAAGAAAAAGAAAAACAACATAAAACAAGTACAGCAAAGAACAACAAATAAAAAAATATATATAGCAACTAACACATAAACAATAGAAATGGATTGAATAGTTAAACTTCCAACGTCATAAACATGTTGCTTGACTTCCTCCGGTCCCTTCCATCTGAATTTCCCTTGTAACTAAATGTAGCAGTTTTCCAATATCATGATTTCTTCCTCTTTTTGCGCAGTTACGCGGGGCTTGGTCCCTCCGAACTTAGTGGGACATAGATGAGCTTTAAGAGTTCTGAAAGATCCATGCTAACCCTATTCCAAGCACATTTCCCCTGAACTGGTGTCTGCACGTTGCTCTCTTTTATTGATTTTATTTCCCATCCTGGAAGGTGCGGTGAGATATAAAATCAATAAAAGGTTACAATATGTGCAAGACTGGGAAATAACAAATCTAAGCGAAACATTTCCCAAAAAAAGGGGGGGGGGAGCACGTCTGTTGTTGCTTGGGAAACGAGCTGTTAATTATTCGGGGGGGGGGATGGGAAAGGTTGGACGGAAACCTATTTCTCCCAACCCCCATGCCTGCCTGTGTCGGAAGGCTGGGTTTCGCTTTGCGCCCTCTTACCGTATTAACTGTGATATATGCGTTCCTTAATAGCCGCCGAGGACGAGATGGTTGGATAGTGTTCTCGGAGCTACCAGCATGAGTTTGACCAAACTGCGGGAGGCAGTGGAAGACAGGAGTGCCTGGCATGCTCTGGTCCGGGGGGTCACGGAGAGTCGGACACCACTAAATAACCAAACAACAATTGACCGATAGACACTCCTAGGCCAGAAGGGTTTCCTTTCTGAGAGATAAATATCCACCCAGAACTGCTCTTCCATGTAGGTGTGTTTTTATATTATTTTATTTCGCCTTGAGCTGGAGGCAGTGGAAGACAGGAGTGCCTGGCGTGCTCTGGTCCAGGGGGTCACGAAGAGTTGGACACGACTAAATGACTAAACAACAACGAAAGAGCCACCGAGGTGGGGAGAGGAATGAAGGAATTGGGCAGTACCGAAGGCTTTGCTGCAGGTTCTGCTGAGAGTCTTGGCCCAAGTGGCACTTCTCCAGGGATGACTTTGAGGGGGTCCTTAGACGGCATAATCCGTGTCGGGCTGATGCTCTTCACTCAGCCCATGATAAAAATCTGCACTCCTCCATTCAGTTCAGGCATCTAGCTGCTGGCCAGTGAAATGCAAAGTAGTTCTAGAGTTGTTGTTTAGTCATTTAGTCGTGTCCGCCTCTTCGTGACCCCCTGGACCAGAGCACGCCAGGCACTCCTGTCTTCCACTGCCTCCCGCAGTTTGGTCAAACTCATGCTGGTAGCTTCGAGAACACTGACCAACCATCTCGTCCTCTGTCGTCCCCTTCTCCTTGTGCCCTCCATCTTTCCCAACATCAGGGTCTTTTCCAGGGAGTCTTCTCTTCTCATGAGGTGGCCAAAGTCTTGGAGCCTCAGCTTCACCTTTGTTGGCAAGGTGATGTCTCTGCTAGAGCAACACAATGATGGAGTGTCTGCAAACCAGATCTGAGTCCTCTGCATCTTGCTTACAAAGGCTTAATGTCCATGTGTCATCCACCTGCATTCTTCGTTTCTGTCCTTCCAGGGCCGGCCCACCCATGAGTTAAAGTGAGGCAACTGCCTCAGGCTGCAGGATTTACAGGAGCAGTGTATTGATCTTTCCTCCCCCTCTTGTTCCCGCTGTAGATCTTCATTCAACCCTTCTTCCCTGGTGGGGAGGTGGGGGTGCCCTTTTGTGGGTTGACTCAGGGGCCGGCCCTGTGTCCCTTCCCCCACTGTATCCTCTGCTTCTCATCCCCTCCTGAACTTGCTTGGGGCTCACCAAATGGGAATTCTCCCCAGGGAACCAGATACCCTCCTTCCAGCATCTCTCTGCTAGGTAAAGGTAAAGGGACCCCTGACTATTAGGTCCAGTCGTGGCCGACTCTGGGGTTGCGGTGCTCATCTCACTTTATTGGCCGAGGGAGGCGGCGTACAGCTTCCGAGTCATGTGGCCAGCATGACAAAGCCGCTTCTGGTGAACCAGAGCAGTGCACAGAAATGCCGTTTACCTTCCCACCGGAGTGGTACCTATTTATCTACTTGCACTTTGATGTGCTTTCAAACTGCTAGGTTGGCAGGAGCAGGGACTGAGCAACGGGAGCTCACCCCGTCATGGGGATTCGAACCTCCGACCTTCTGATCGCCAAGTCCTAGGCTCTGTGGTTTAACCCACAGCACCACCCATGTCCCAAAATCGCGTCTCTCTGCCAAAACCCAGCAAATCCGCAAGGTTTGCAGCTCACATCTCTCCACCCACCCCCACCAGCTCCAATGATGGCTGATCATCTTGCTGGCATCCTGCTAAGGAGAAATGCTGCCTCGGGGTCCCTTTACTGCTGATCTGTGGCAGCAGCAGCGTGGAGCTGGTCAGCTAGGACACATGCACAAAACATCTTAGGGATGCAAAATAAAATAGTTATTTTAAAAAACCCAGAAAGGGTTCTTTGGCGTGATGAGGGTTGTTGTTTTTTTAAAGAACCATTTTGGACGAAAGGACAAGCACTACCATATCCTGCAGAAAGAAGCATCTGTGGACCTTATGGCCACTCTGTCTTACAAAGACAGCTCTCCAAAACTGCCTTCTGTTTCCAGCAGTGGAGGGCTGGTGGCTTGGAAGGTAGACTGCCTCCAGCATGGAGGTTCCATGCCACCTTTATGGCTAATGTGGGCCCAAAAATCCCTGACCAATGGCTGGCATTTAGGTTGCCAGGCAGGTATCTCCAGGAATCCATGAAGGCCTATCCAGCCTCTGAGCTTTGAAAATCGCAGCAAGCTGTCATGGCAGGTTCAGGGCCTCAGTTCAGCACAAAGAAAAGCCCCTTTTGTTGGAATGGTGCTATTCTGCACAGGTGCTATTAACCTAAGAATGAAGGGAGGGCGCATTCCAGACGTGCCCGTTGGAAAAGACAAGAGAATTTATTCCACCAGGAAGGCCTGACTTGCTGGTGCTTGTTCATCCCTTCCTGGACGGGGGAAAGCGCTTATAGTAGCGAATCCACTCCGTGGCTTTCAACTTTATCTAGGTCGAATAATGGGTAAGTAATATGGTCTGAAGCTCAACATCAAAAAAACGAAGATCATGGCCACTGGTCCCATCACCTCCTGGCAAATAGAAGGGGAAGAAATGGAGGCAGTGAGAGATTTTACTTTCTTGGGCTCCATGATCACTGCAGATGGTGACAGCAGTCACGAAATTAAAAGATGCCTGCTTCTTGGGAGAAGGGCAATGACAGGCCTAGACAGCATCTTGAGAAGCAGAGACGTCACCTTGCCAACAAAGGTCCATATAGTTAAAGCCATGGTTTTCCCAGCAGTGATGTATGGAAGTGAGAGCTGGACCATCAAGAAGGCTGATCGCCGAAGAATGGATGCTTTTGAATTCTGGTGCTGGAGGAGACTCTTGAGAGTCCCATGGACGGCAAGAAGATCAAACCTCTCCATTCTGAAGGAAATCAGCCCTGAGCACTCACTGGAAGGACAGATCCTGAAGCTGAGGCTCCAATGCTTTGGCCACCTCATGAGAAGAGAAGACTCCCTGGAAAAGACCCTGATGTTGGGAAAGATGGAGGGCACAAGGAGAAGGGGACGACAGAGGACGAGATGGTGGGACAGTGTTCTTGAAGCTACAAACATGAGTCTGACCAAACTGCGGGAGGCAGTGGAAGACAGGAGGGCCTGGTGTGCTCTGGTCCAGGGGGTCACCAAGAGTCGGACACGACTAAATGACTAAACAACAACAACAAAACGAACATTCTGCCCACTTTGGAGACCTCTGAGGTGCCTGTTTTTTTGTGTGGTCTCCCTCCGCCCCAAAACAAAAGGTTGGTGGTGAGGCGATTTGGCGGGAAGGAGCCAGGGCTATTTCCATCTGAATGGGGGCAGGAAGCGGGGGCCGGGGAGCCGCCATTCGGGCCGCCCCTCGCCTCCCCTCGGGCTCTGATTGGGCGCCTGCGCTCGGGGCCGGGCCTCGTCATTAGCATACGGGGAGGTATAAAGGGCCGGGCGCCGGGGCCCTTCCTTCTCACCTCCTCACTGCACGGCGGAGCTGAGTTAGGTCAGGGACCCCTCGGGTGAGAAGAGGCTGAGGGGCGCGCCGAGGGAAGGCGGCAGGGGTCGCCATTTCGGGGAAGGCGGAGGAGGGCAGACGGCGCCGCTGCTTTGGAAAAGTTTATTTGGGGCCGGGGAGGGAGGGAGGAAGGAAGGGCGGCTGCGGCGGGGCTGCTTGTGGGGCAAAGAGCCCCCCTCAAAGAGTCGCCGCGTCTCCTCAGCGAAGGGGCTTTGGCGAGGCTGCCGGCGCTTGTCTGTGAAGAAGCCCCATAGAACTCAGGGGGGGGGGGCGCGGACTTTACTTCTGAGTCGGCGCGCCGTGGGGCGGGGGGGGGGTTCGCTCTGGGAAGCGGGGAGCTTTTCTCCTCTTCGCCCCCCACCTCGCCCAGCCTTCGGGGGCTCCGCGCCCCCCAGCCCTCGGGCGGCGACGGTGACCAAGTTTCCCCGGCCGACTTCCGCGAGGGGGGGGAGCCTCGCTGGAAAGGCGGCCGCGGAAGCGCCTTCTTAGCGTGGGGAGAAGTTGCGGGGGGGCAGTGGCGTAGCGTGGGGGGTGCAGGGGAGGCCGGCCGCACCGGGCGCAACATCTGGGGTTAGGGCAAATCCACGGGTTAGGGGGCGCAAATTACTTGCCTTGCCCCGGGTGCTGACAACCCACGCTACGCCACTGGGGGGGGGAGAGAGGTTGGCGGAAGGAAATGTAACCTGGCAGCGTTTCTTTAGTACACTGATCCCCCCCCCAAAAAAAAGATTAGAAGCAACTTTCGTTGCCTCTTGGATCCTGAGCTTCGCTTCCCTCCGCTCCGCCGGGTGTGGGGCGGCGTCCCTCTCTCTCTCCGCCTAAGGGGGCATTATCCTGATGGGGGGGGGAAGGGCAGAGACAAGGACCCCTTTGAGCCTGGGGGTTCCTCTGGCATGAATCGGGGTGGGGTTACTGGAGTGACGGGGGTGGGGATCCCTCCTTGAGTTTTGGCGCAAGAAAAACAACCTTGTAATTTCCGGGTATATATATTTTGTTCCTCCCAGGATCACAATTTCCAGAGACGAAAATGGTGAAAATCGGAGTTAACGGGTGAGTTTTTTTGGAGGGGGCGGACGTGCGGCGAGGCTGCCTTAGCATGGCAGGGAGGGAGGGGCGTGTAAAGTGGGGAGGAGGAGGAGATCTGGTTGCTGGGAGAAGTAGGGGGTGGCTGCCCCCTGGGAGAACTTGGAGAACTTTCCAGCCAATGGGAGAGCGTTGGCGCCTGGCTGCCTGTTGCTGTCTCTTGTGGCAGTTCTTGGGGGGACCCGGCTCGCATTCCTGTCCTTTGCAAGGACATCTGAAGGTCACTCCGGCTCCTCTGCCTCCGCCCAGCAGCTGCTCCTCTCCAAAAAGGATCTTCTTGTGTCCTTCTCAGCCCAGCTGCCCCATTAAAACAGGTGGCACCCAAAAGGGCTTTCTCCCCATCTTGGTCTCCACGTGCAGCAGCGAAAGCACATGGGGCAAGCCAGTGGCCAGGATGTGCCTAGGCAGGAGAGGAGAGGTGGTGGTGTGACTCACTTCCTTGAGCATTGAACTGCTGAATCACTTGCGGCAGGAAGCAGCAGCAGCAGTGGGGCTCCCTGGTCCTCCTCACCCCACTTCTCTTTTATTCCCATCTTTTGCAACTCTGGCTGCTTTTCCCCCCGCCCTGCATATCAAAGTGAAACTCTGTGCCTTTTGGTCTGAAGGACCCACAAAGAATGTGACCTTCTGCACTACACCCCGTGGAGGCAGAAAACTGTAACCAGATAACTTGCAGCTTGGTGCTGGAGGGTGGGGGGAGCTGGCGCTAAAGTTAGTGCCTGACCTTTCTGCAGTGGCGGGATGGTTCTGTAAAGGAAGGGGAGAGGTGTCTGGATGCAACATGAGAGAGGGAGCCTGTCTAAGCAATATCTTTCCCATCTCAAGGCTGCTAATTAAATAGTAGCAGTGTCCTGCAAGAATTCCCATAGAGCTGAGTGGCAGACTGCGTGCTTTGCATTCAGAGGGTTTTGGACTCAGATAAGGGGAAGCTGCTTATTGGTTTATTCCCACAAGTTGGTTGGGAATAAACCATGTGAGCCAAGTGGAATTCACCAGAGCAGCTTCACAGGGAGGGTAGGACTTGCATTTCTGCATGGCGGTTTAATATCTTATCTAACACCTTCACAGTAGCCATGAGCAGCGAATCTCTGCAAATCAGGCAGTAACTTTTCAAGCACTTGCTGAGCAGTGATTTGAGGTTCGTGGTGAAAGTGGAGAGATCAGAGCCTCCTCTGTCCATGTTTTTCTTGCCCCTTAGATTAGCTGGCTGCCCCTTTTCTTGCCCCTTAGATTAGCATTTTAGAGCTAATAAAATGGTGGCTTGGCCTCTCATGCAAAAGATGCCCTTTGTCTCAAACACAAAGCCTTCATCACGTGACCCCAAAAAGCTGCTGCAGTTGTAGGGCTCTGGAAGGGTTTGCAGAGGTGAAGTTGCATGCCCTCAGTTGGTGTCCTTGCTGCAGTTGTTCTACTTACCTTGCATCTCTCTCACTGGTCCTTGACTTGCTGCCACAGGAGAAACTGAGAAAGGCCAGAACTCACCAGAGCAGATGATGGCTCTGTGTTGGGAGATGCCCTGAACTTAAGGCAATATCATGCAGCTCTCTTGGGCATCAGACCCTGGCTTGCTGGTTGAGGGTGCCAGAAGAGGATTTGAACAGGTCTAGGATGTGGGGCACAATCTACTCGGAAGGCTTTGGCAATAAGCCTAATTTGAAACTAACCGGGATTGTGCATTTTAGTGAGGCTTGCACAGGGTATTTAGATAACAGAAAGATGTTGGCTACATTTCTTGTGTGCCTAAGGCAGAAAATATTTATAGAATAAGCCTGATTTTATCTTAATATGGTTAGGTTCAGGTCTAAGCCCTTGTCTAGTTAGCGCCCTCCAGCTGATTGCCAAGTTATCACAAGCTGCAATGTGATGTGCCTCATCACTGCTGCTTCTCCCCCTGTCCCCAATTACTTGATTTTTAATACTTTCTCAAAGTACTATTCTCTGTTTTGGGGTTTTTGGTTTGTTTTTTGCTTTTAGAACAATTAGATAGAGAGAATTCTGTTTTTGCTTCCTTGTGACGGTTGCTCTTCTCTTTCTCTAGATTTGGCCGCATTGGCCGTTTGGTCAGCAGAGCTGCAATTAACTCTGGAAAAGTTGAGGTTGTGGCCATCAACGACCCTTTCATTGATCTGAACTACATGGTGAGAATCCAGTGTTTTTTCTAAAGTCAAAAAGCAGGCTATGGCCTTACCTTGTGAACATGTATTTGTGTCACTAAACAGTATTCTTGGTATTTTTTCCAGAGATCTGGCAAATGGTAGCAGTTTCTTTGGGGGAAGACAGTCTATAAGCTGAAAGCAGCATTGGGTGGTTAGGGAGCTAGTGCCTCTTGAGATTTTAGAATAAAGCCCACCCCCCAGCTGAAGACTACAGAGTATGAGCCAAATTGGCACATAACCCATAATAATCACATTGTCCCTAGTGAGATGCTGAAAGTCCAAACGCAACTTTCAAAGGACCAGGTGCAGAGAGAGGTGTTCAAGGTTCTGAAGAGAAAATATTGCACGAAGTGGCACATAAGAATTTTGTGGTCTTGTGTGACCACAGCAGTACTTGGCATTCTCCCCACGACCATAACACACAAACAGCAACAAACCTGCCTTTCTACTTTCAGTTCACACAGCCCTGTCTTCATGGAGTTGTGTATTTGAGAGTAGCTTGGGATGGGGGGAAATTGCATTGGGGATAGAGAGGCAGCCAGGCAGAATGAGGGATTAATGTGGAACCAGACTACAAAACTCACGTTTTGAATGTCTCACTCTTAGGTCTACATGTTCAAGTATGACTCCACTCATGGCCGTTTCCGTGGTGATGTGAAGGCCGAAAATGGGAAACTTGTGATCAATGGACATGCCATCACTGTCTTCCAGGAGTGAGTAATATCTCTCATTCTTCTCTTCTCTTTCCTTTCTGACTGGGCAGGATCTGGCTCTGTCAGAAACTTGCAGAGTCTAAAACTGTGATTTTTTTCCTCATCAGGCGTGACCCTGCCAACATAAAGTGGGGCGATGCTGGTGCACAATACGTTGTTGAATCCACTGGTGTTTTCACCACCATAGAAAAGGCCGGTGTAAGTATCTTCTGTGCAGATGAGCAAAAGGGACCATGCATCTCTCCTGGGCAGGAGGAGAGGTGTCACAAATTGGTGCAGGAGTTTTCTGTTTTCCCACTCCCGTTTCTCCCCCTAGCTGAGCAATGATAAAAGTCAGAAGAATAACATAGTTTGCCTCATCCACGTGGTTGTAGCCTTCCTTAGCAACAGGATTCTTGTTCATAGTTCTTAAATAACACATGCTCTGTCAGCCTTGGAACAGATTGCTACAGTTCTTGCTTCCTTTCCCCTTTCAGGCTCACTTGAAGGGCGGTGCCAAGCGTGTTGTAATCTCTGCCCCATCAGCGGATGCTCCCATGTTTGTGATGGGTGTCAATCATGAGAAGTATGACAACTCTCTGAAAATCGTCAGGTGAGTATGCAAGCGAAATTGTGGTACTGTAATAGTAACCGGAGCAGTGCTGCTCGCTGGCCTATTAACATTGGACCACAATATGGATGGGGTTAAGAGTTGTGGTGCTCCATATAAATACCCTCATTTCCTTCCAGCAATGCTTCTTGCACCACCAACTGCCTGGCACCCCTGGCCAAGGTCATCAATGACAACTACGGCATTGTGGAAGGCCTTATGGTAAGTGAATTGCATGCTCCTAATGCACTCCTCATTACCAAGGTCCTTTACTGTGGAGGGGAGGCCTAGCCCCCCCAAACAGATACCCCAAGTCCCTTCACATATTGTTGGGCTCCAGCCCCCTTCAGCCATCATGGTCAGTGGTCAGGGATGATGGAAGCTGCTGTCCAGCAACAAATTTATCCATCCTTAGTGTAGCCAAATTTGCAGCTCTTCAGAATGTGCCGATCCTTCCCCTTGTGGGTGTACAAGGGGAAAGTGCATAGAGTATTCTATCCAATTACTTGCAAAGATTTTGACTCTTTCCATTATTGCGTCATACTTTTAAACCCTTTCTGCTTCACTGCAGACATTGTCCTCACACTGAAATGTTGTTCAAAGCTTAACCTCAATGATCAAAGGCAGTCTAGGATAAAAGTTGGCTGAGAGGAACTATACAGTTAAGAGCCCTTCCTCTCAGTAGTGTACATGGAGGGGACACACATCTTGTGCTTGGGGGTGAAAAATTGATCTCTCTTGCCCCTTCTCTACCCCAGACCACAGTCCATGCCATTACAGCCACACAGAAGACTGTGGATGGTCCCTCTGGGAAACTGTGGCGAGATGGCAGAGGAGCTGCTCAGAACATCATCCCAGCTTCCACAGGTGCAGCAAAGGCTGTTGGCAAGGTCATCCCTGAGCTGAATGGGTAAGTCCTCTAGTCTCTCTGGGTGGTGTCTGAGGGAAGGATATGAAAGTGAGGAATGCTTTGCACCCTAACCCGAGTAATGTTCTACACCCTCAGAAAACTCACAGGGATGGCTTTCCGCGTCCCAACTCCCAATGTTTCTGTCGTGGACTTAACATGCCGCTTGGAGAAACCAGTGAGTATTTCGGAACTTGCAGCGCCTTTCCCTGTGGCCTCGTGTAGAAACCCACCTTTGTAGCTCTCGGTAATACTTTGTAATGCTTGCCTGTACAGAAACCACAAAAGGGGCTTGCACCACCTTACAATGCACCATGAGCTGTGCATTTATGTCCATAAACAAGCACAGCTAGGGCTGGACTTCTTGTTTGAAGCCCAGTCCCCTCTCTATGACCCCCCCCCAAAAAAGTGGCAGGTGATGGTGGCAGAAGCCAAGATCAATACCTGAATCTTGCCCATTGTGGTTGGCAGTGGTCACTCTAGTCCTTCCTTCCTCATGCTTAAAAATATATACTTTGGGATAATCCTAATTTTATTTTTGCTTTAAAAATATATTATTTTTTCTACAAGTAAATGTGTTTAGCACTGGGCAGTAGACGTAAACTCCCATTTTATTCCTGCAGTCATGATAGTGAGTTTTTTTGTGTGCGTGCGTGCGTACGTGCACACACACACACACACACACACAGAGGTTTGGTTTGTTCTACTATATAAGGAATGTAGAAATAGTTGCAAATCACAGTCTGGTGGATGGAGTGGGGGGGGAGGGGAAGAGAAATGTTAACTGGGTCCACATGGCCATCTAGAGCCCAGTCCTCATCAATACCACTTGAACCCAGGGTCTAAATTTATATAACTGCCTCTCCTTTCCCCAGCCTTCTCTGGCCTGTGTCTTAAGTAATTTCCATAAGCTCCTGCACAGCTCTGGCAGATGGGACCATTTTAATCTTTCCCATCCTTTTTCCACACAGGCCAAGTATGATGACATTAAGAAGGTTGTGAAGGCAGCCTCCGAAGGCCCTATGAAGGGTGTCCTGGGATACACCGAGGACCAGGTAAGCCACGGTGGCTGCTTCAGCAGACTGTCAAATCTGGATCTTCTCTTCATGTATACACACAATTTGTATGGAGAAAGCACATCGGTACATTTTGTAGCAATTTCTGCTACCGTGATAGTGGCAGTAAAGATAATTTTGGACATTGAATGTATCTAAATGATACATTTTCTTTCCTCCATCTTCTTCCTTGCCCTACGTGACTGGCGGCATATGGTTTCATCCTGCATTTCTTCCATATTGGAACCCAAGGTGTACATCTTCCACCCAGGCAGTGACCTGGGTGCTTAACTTCAAGAAGGTGGTTGGCCCCATGCACCTTTAGACCATACCGGTTTTGCTTCAAGTTTATACACCATGTTGCCCTCTGTTGGATAAAATGTGAGATCATGTTTCGTTGCCTAGTATTTTGAGCTTCTCTTCTTCTCTCAAAGGTTGTCTCCTGTGACTTCAATGGTGATACCCACTCCTCCATCTTTGATGCTGCTGCTGGCATTGCTCTCAACGACCACTTTGTGAAGCTGGTCTCCTGGTAAGAGATCAAGCTAGATATAAGGTCTAGACTTGTGTAGGATCAAGGAACTTCTTGCTGTTTGAATTGCTATGGTCATCCAGTGGCCTGCTGAAATTTGGGAAGGGGGACATAGTGTGTGCACACATGTGTGTAGCAGTATAGACTTCCTGCTCTCTTCCTATCACTTGTCAAATAGAGGAAGGCTATTTTATGATGAGAGGATACTGTAGGTAACCCTACTATTCCCCTGCCTTCTTTTCCAGGTACGACAATGAATATGGATACAGCAACCGCGTGGTAGACTTGTTGGTTCACATGGCATCAAAGGAGTAAAGGCAGAGTTCCATTTCTTAATTTTCTTACAACTCGGCTCTGTATCTTGCAGTAAGAGGCCTTCTCTTGTTCCACCTGCCTCTGAGGAAGTGGAGAGGCTGGAAGAAACTTGACTGTTTCCGTAACATCTCCCCTCTCAATAAAGTCATCACTGTCTCAAATCCTTGTTCTCTTCCTTTTTCTTGTTGTTGTGGGGTGTGTGAGGGTGTGAGCACAAAGGCTGTCCTTTCTCCCCAAAAGAGCTGGGCTGCCTTGAAAGTTGATAACCCCGCAGGACAGAGTTTCTGCATGAAAATTCCCCACTTCATAGCTGCATTGCTGAACAGCAGTTGTACTTCTGTATGGACCAGCAGGCATGGTGGTGGAGGCTGCCTGTCTTGGAGTTTTGAGGGTTCAGAACGCCTGTAGCTGAGGGGGTTAAGCTGAATGTGCTGCTGCTTAAAGAATGAGCAACAGAAGATAACCAAGAGCAGTTGCAGCTTCATGGGAAGGGACACACACACCTTGACTTGCTGGTAATATAAAACATAAAACAATGTGATGGTGCTTAGCCAAGGGACCCATCAGGCTAGTCTTCATATTTACTGTAAAGCTAACACAATTGCACTCCACCTGCCTCGGCATCTGCTGCTGAATGCTGGAAACCAAAACCAGGGCATCATCACCCAGATCTTCACTAGATCACCACCTAGCTAGCTAAATTGTTCCATTGTCTCAGAATGGCTGTTGCTAGCAAGAAGTTTTGACATCTGTACTCCTCGAAACTGAAGCCCATGTAAAATCCAGTGTCCAGAAGTGGACACAGCATGCCAACAGCTTTAGTTAGTACAGAGTAGAGTGGAACTATTCCTTAAGACTGCTGGAAAATAAGTTCTGTTAATGCAGCTTAAAAATTGCATGATTTTTCTTTTCCAGCAGCGTCCCATTGCTAACTCAAGTTCAGCTTGTGATTGTCCACAGTCCTGAGACTGTTTTGCCTACACTGAGAACTTCACATTTGTCTCTGACGTCTTAGAATGGAAAACTGCTGACACTACACTACTGAGGCAATTTTAAATAAGTACTCCTGAGGTGTTTGCTATCCCTGCCAAGTTTCTTACCAATGATTTACCTCTACCCCGTTTCTCCAAGTTGTTGATAAAATGTGGAAGGAATACAGGCTCTGCATCACTTCACTCAATTTCCTCAGTTTTCAGTCTTTTAAAACTCATACTTTTACCAACCTGCTGCAATGCTGGTTAAGGCAAGGAGCCACAAATCTTTAATGGGGGTGAATGCAGCCAAGAAGAAAAGAAAACAGCATGAGAATGTTCAATAGGTGGCAGCTATATTAGTAATTTGCCTCCTTTAATAAGGAACTGAAAACTTGGAATCTATTTAATAAAGAATGTACTTAGTTCTCTTCCATTATATGATGTATAAGAATAATTAACCAGCTATACAATGGCAGTGAAGTAGATAATTTGGAGTTCCACAATGGGAGAGTAGCCATGACTCAAACTGCAGCACCAGCTGCTGGCAGAAACATACAGGCTATTTAGCCTAAGGAGAGCACACTCACCCTTAGTTTTCTCTGATAGGCAGCTGTGGAATTCACAGAATTGTAGAGTTGGAAGGGACCCTGAGGGTCATCTAGTCCAACCCTCTGCAATGCAGGAATCTCAACAAAAGCATCCATGGCAGATAGCCATCCAACCTCTGCTTTAAAACCGCCAATGAAACAGTCCACCATCTTTCAGTGGCACCTGTTCACTGCTTATAATAATAATAATAATTTATTATTTATACCCCGCCCATCTGGCTGGGCCTCCCCAGCCACTCTGGGCGGCTTCCATAGAAACCAAAAATACCGTAAAATATCACACGTTAAAAACTTCCCTGAACAGGGCTGCCGTAAGATGTCTTCTGAATGTCAGGTAGTTGTTTATCGCTTTGACATCTGCTGGAAGGGCGTTCCACAGGGCGGGCGCCACTACCGAGAAGGCCCTCTGCCTGGTTCCCTGTAGCTTTGCTTCTCGCAATGAGGGAACCGCCAGAAGGCCCTCGGTGCTGGACCTCAGCGTCCGGGCAGAACGATGGGGGTGGAGACGCTCCTTCAGGTATACTGGACCGAGGCCGTTTAGGGCTTTAAAGGTCAGCACCAACACTTTGAATTGTGCTCGGAAACATACTGGGCATAAGGCCCAACACACAATTACCATTTGCTGAGATCTTTGTGTGTGAACAGGCTGTGTTTTACTCCCCTTAGACTCAAAACTCTTGGCTTGAGCACAAGTCCTCTGCCTTCAGCTGAGTCGGACTTTGAGGATGTGTGGGGAACAGCTGGTTCATTTATTCTGCTTCGGGTTCTGCCTCCTTATGGCACACACACAAGGCTAAAGGATGCATCTCTGTCCCTCATGAACAGGTGTCACATTTAGCACCACACAATTACCAGCCGCAGAAGCCGCAACAGCTCGGACTCTGTGCAACAGGATTTTGCAAGGCCGCTTCCTGGAGCGTCCCCATCTCAAGTTAATGGGAAGTGACAGCCGTTTGGATTTTTGGCCTCGGACACTGTGAAGTATTTGGGGTGGGCAGGAGCTATTTTAGAGGTGCCAAATTCCTTGCCAAAGGAAACCTTTTTTGAATGGGGAAGAGGGGGCGGTGCATGATTATTTCTTTTGCTGAACTGTGTACAAGAACTATATGAGACAGTCAAAAGCACTTAAGGAAAGCACTTAACTATATGAGACAGTCAAAAGCACTTAAGGATAAAGATTGCCACAGGACCCTCATACCTATGGGGACCGCCTCTCCTGGCATGTCCCACGGAGGAACTTATGATCTTCAAACAAAAACATCTTAAAGGTCCCAGGCCACAGAGAGGTTAGGCTGGCCTCAACCAGAGCCAGGGCTTTTTCGGCTGTGGCTCCGATGTGGTGTAACGCTCTGTCACAAGAGACTAGGGCCCTGCGGGATTTGACATCTTTCCGTAGGGCCTGCAAGACAGAGCTGTTCCGCCAAGCCTTTGGCCAGGGCATAGCCTGACCACCTCCTTTGGCAATCCTCACAGAATTCTAGCCCAATGGTTGCCATCAATTTGATTTGAATTAATTTTATAATGAAATGATTTTAGAATGTTGTATTTAGAATGTTGCGGGTGGCGCTGTGGGTTAAACCACAGAGCCTAGGACTTGCTGATCAGAAGGTCGGCGGTTCAAATCCCCGCAACGGGGTGAGCTCCCATTCCTTGGTCCCAGCTCCTGCCAACCTAGCAGTTCGAAAGCACATCAAAGTGCAAGTAGATAAATAGGTACCGCTCCAGCGGGAAGGTAAACGGTGTTTCCATGCGCTGCTCTGGTTAGCCAGGAGCGGCTTAGTCATGCTGGACACATGACCCGGAAGCTGTCTGCAGACAAACGCCGGCTCCCTCGGCCTATAGAGCGAGATGAGCGCCGCTACCCCAGAGTCGGTCACGACTCGACTTAATGGTCAGGGGTCCCTTTACCTTTACCTATTATTTTATTGTTGTTAGCCGCCCTGAGCCCAGCCTCGGCTGGGGAGGGATATAAATAAAAAATTATTATTATTATTATTATTATTATTATTATTATTATTATTATTATTATGTTCCTAGTCCGTCCCTTGCAGGCGATGAGTAATTAAGACAGATGATGTAGGACTGAAGAACCTATCCTGCAGAGGGCACTGCAGCCATGCTTTATGGTTATTCTTGGCACTTTCCTTTCTCCTTGTCTCTGTTGGCAGAATGAGTCCACAGGCCTAGAGCAACACAAACTAATTTTTAAGCTGAGAAATTCTGAGATTGGTTGGGCAGTTTAAGTAACATTAGCGGGCTTTCCGCCCCAGGCAAAATCAATGCTTAAAGTCCTATTTTGGTTTGGTTTTCATTAATAGCTCTGCAGCATGGAGTCCTCCCCAAGCAGAGACAAAAACTGCCCTCGTCCAGCCCCCAAATCTACCAACTTTGACAGATCAAAGTAGCGTCCTTGCCATAAAAGCCTGGGCCTCACTGAAGCTCTCCATTTCTATTTGAGAGCTGGCGGTGTTGTATGGTTAGAATGCTGGACTAGGACCTGGGAGCCCAGAGTTCAAATCCCCGTTCAGGCCAGGAAGCTTCCTGGGTGACCTTGGGCCAGTTGCTGCCTCTCAGCCTAATCTACCTCTCAGGATGTTGTGAGGATAAAATGGGGAGGAGGAGAACCATGTATTCCCCTTGAGCAACTTGGAGGAAAGGTGGGATAAACATGTAATAAATAATAAATAATAACCATATCTCTAACCCAAAGGATCTTGGTGCCAGAGGGCAGAAATTCTAGGCTTTGTCTGCCAGCGCTTGGTGCATAACCTATGTTTCGGCAGAACAAGTTGGAGATCTAATTCATTGTTTCCCACACCTCTGACTGTAGAGGTGCACCCTCCCACATCACCTTTATAAAATAGGGGGACGTGGGTGGCACTGTGGTCTAAACCACTGAGCCTCTTGGGCTTGCCAATCAGAAGGTTGGCAGTTCAAATCCCCGTGACGCAGTGAGCTCTCGTTGCTCGGTCCCAGCTCCTGCCAACCTAGCAGTTCGAAAGCACACCAGTGCAAGTAGATAAATAGGTACTGCTGCAGTGGGAAGGTAAACGGTGTTTCCGTGCGCTCTGGTTTCCGTCACGGTGTTCTGTTGTGCCAGAAGCTGTTTAGTCATGCTGGCCACATGACCCAGAAAGCTGTCTGCGGACAAACGGCAGCTCCCTCGGCCTAAAAGTGAGATGAGCGCTGCAACCCCATAGTGGCCTTTGACTGGACTTCACTGTCCAGGGGTCCTTTACCATAAATAGTATGAGGTCCAGGCACTTTACTTGTCTACCTTGAAATGTTTTGCATCTCTAGACTCTAGAACAGTAAGTATTCCCATGTGGGTAAGTGATATGCATGCAGCAAAACGAGAGACAACTTAGCTCCTGGAGAGACAACTTCCTGTCATTTCTCCGAACAGGCAATATCTTTTACCTGCCTGATTCCAGGAAGACAGAATGATCTTGCTTCACAGATTTGAGATGTCTTGCCACTTCATTCCAAAGATGAGATGAAACTACACTGGGATTGCACATCCTTCGAGGAGCAATAAAACTTTTTTAAAAAGAGGTTGTGATCTATCTTTCTGTTACG